TCTTTCAAAATTAAATTCTAGCAAGTAAAAGAGCCGTTTTTGAACGTGACATAATGTTTTTTACTTGGCAAAAGTTATTTCTGAGGCGAGCGGCCCCATGCAAGTTGACCCAATTTGACCTTTCGAAGAGATTTTGTTTCACCAGCAAATGTAAACAATTCGACTAGCCTTGGCTCGCTCTCTGAGCAAACCATTGAAAAACCCTGCAGTTTCCCATTAAAACTGCCCAGTAAACCTGAGGTAATACTTAGAGGACAGCTTACCTTCCAAATGGGTGTTTGAAGGCAAATAACTTTGATGTTCTTCGCTAATTTTCCTGTGTCTTGCTGCCGTGATCAGCCACCGGCTTTTTCCTACGGCTAAGGCATTTTCTAAGTATAACCTTAAGTTTCTCTGATTTGTGCAATATTTTTGCGGGATCTGGATCCATGTCTTGCATATAAATCCTCCTCTGGGTATCTATTGAGTTCTCTATTGAATGTTTCTTATGAAAATAGGCAAGAAGTGAAGGAACTAATTGAACTGAAAAATAGACCCATATCGATATCACGCAATCTTTACATCTAAGTGATCACGTGCGACAAATACATCCGTATGGATATTTTTGTCTTGTTTTTGCTCATTTCTTCATTTTCTTCCTTACTAGCATACAGTGTTTTCGTTTTGGTTTTATTTATTTATTCATTTATTTTTTTTTTTTTCATCTTAAGCCTATTTTGAAGGAGAGTTCTTTGTAAGCAATACTTTGAATCAGTGTATATGTTGTAGTTCAATTTTATCCTTGGTTCAAATTTTAGTTTTCTTTGTTCTCGGTCATGTTAATGTATGATAATAAGTTTGAAACAAAGGAAAATAAAATTTGAACCAAGGATAAAATTGAACTACAACATATATACATGCAACACATTTACTTTTCCCATTTTCTAGTGACTGTGAAACAATGTTGGAAATCGTGCGTAATATTGTGATCATTAGTCGCTTGTTACCCTTTGTTTGATCATAAACAATGTGACTTCAGGAAGTGTCAAATGACACACCCAAAACCAATGAGTGACAGTGATAAAAGATGTAGCAGAACACGTAAGCGGGGAGGAGACTTTTCAACAGTGACAGCGAGGGGAGTTTTTTGTTTATTTCGTTGTTAGCGTTCGGTTATTGATAATATTGGTTCAATCTTGGAGGTAATTCCCAACTTGCAAATCCTTAGATTCAGAACCACCTACCAACCTGTTAAATTCCTTGATTCATCTCACT